ACATGGCTAGATCGACACAGCTATCATCCTGATCAAGAAGGTTGGATATGCTTCCTTCTGCCTGTTGCATGCATTTACAAGAAACCGAATATAATGGTTACCTATTTGGAGAGAGTTCTTTGTATCTATTGCTGCATAGCTCAGGCCTAACCTCTAGAAGAGGTTAATAGATGCAACAGCTCTTTGAAAAACTTTGGGGTCTGCTTCTATACGACTAATCAATCAAGTCTATGAGTAATTAATAAAAAAAAACATTTACCTTTTCAAAATCTTATACTGACAATGTATTCCAATGTATTCCGACGATTTATTGTAGTTAAATGTATATAGATAATATCTACAGGTCTTACAGGTCTATAAGATATAATGGACAGCTTGCCAAACTTGATTAAATCTTTTCAGCTCAAACAACAAGAGCTCCAAGCGCTTGGGATGAATACTTTTAGATTGGTTTATTTTATTAAAAGTTGAATATTATCATTTGCTTCTGTTGAAGGGTATATTAACCCCTCAACCCTCAATAAGTTCATCAAGTCTAACTGGAAAGATTCACGATTGAATAAATGCTGTAGATTACAAAAAGATATAAATGATAGTTGCTTTTAGCTTTGAAGTAATAATGACATATTTGCTATGGATCTCATTGATATATTATCGATTCGAAACTAGGCTATATATTTATATTGCTGATCTCCTCGACTATTTCTATCGAACTAGTTCCTTCTAGTTGCAAAAATATGAGGAATATTGAAGGAAATGTTCGTTAACCGAAAGTTAAGTGCTTGCTATATTATTTAAAATTGCATTACTTGTAAATATATGAGTTAGTTAACACTTGACAGAACAGATCTTTCGAATATTATGCAAAAAATAAATGCTTTGAGTATCTCGCAAAAGTGAATCAAAAATTTCTTATCAGCCGGAAGCTCCCGACTAGGGGATACCCTAAAAACTCTTCTTCCAACAGGCGATAGGTATAAAATGAAAGATACTTGATATATATATGCTATTCTAGAAGCTACATGTCAAGTTTGGTGATTTTAGCACTTATTATTTACCAAAATTGCTCAAAAAACAGGATTTCGATATCGATTTTTATCGATTACTTGGAAACAGGGGCAAGCTATTGAACATTGGAAACAAACTTGATCTACGCGGGTACTAGGAGGACCTTCAGCTAAAATTTCAAGTCTCTAGCTCTTATAGGTTTTGAGATCCTTGCGTTCATACATATGGACAGACGGACGGACGGACGGACGGACGGACAGACAGACGGACATGGCTATATCGACTCGGCTGTTGATGCTGATCAAGAATATATATACTTTATGGGGTCGGAGATGCTTCCTTCTGCCTGTTACATACATTTGCACAAATACATTATACCCCCTTTTTACCCATTTTCAATGGGTTCAGGGTATAAAAAAACAAGAAACTAATCATAAAAACTAGTCGGGCGATTTGATACAAATATAAAACCCAACGTTAACCAAAACTGAAACCAGATATACATATATCCCAGCGCCACTCTAGAGCATGTGTCAACTTCAGATACGAATCGATTCATTTGTGGTAAACAGCTCTCGATGCGATGTGGGCGATGGGGGCGATGGGGGCGGGCAATGGATGGGTGCTCGCATGGACGGGTGGGATTGGATTGAATTGGATTGGATTGCTTTGCTTTGGGTTGGCGTGGCGGCAACTTCGATGGCAACAGCGGCGGCTACTATAAACACATTCCGCATTGGTACAAAAAACGCACGCACACACACACACAAACATAGACACAACAATAAATATTTCGTAGTGAAATGCTTTTGTTTTAATGCCCCGCAAAACACAGCGCAAATTGACTGGATGATTGTGTGGCCGTTGTGGCGGCTCTGGCAGTCATTTAAATATGTATCTATATAGCTATACCTATAGCTATAGCTATAACTGCACAGATAAATATACATATATATGTGTGTGTGTGTGTGTGTGTGTGTGTGTGTGTGTGTGTGTGTGTGTGTGTGTGACGTCATCAGAGCCTCGCAATGTGCCCAGCAGCTTTTGGTTAGGCTTCGCTTTATAAAAGCGCTCGTACTTTCACTTGTTTTTGATTGTTATTTATTATTTTTTGCTTACTTTTTGCTTGCCTTGTGGAAAACCGGAGCACACAAAAAAAATGTATAAAAAAAATAAATATAAAAAAAAGGCACACAAACACGCGCAAAAAAAAACCCGCTTTTTTTCACTTAAATGTGCAACACGCATACGCAGCGTTGTACCGCGTTGGTCACTTTGTATTTGCAATCGGCGATTTGTGATTTGTCATTTGTTTGTTGTTTGGCTAGTTGAGACTTCTATTTGGCATTTGCCATTTTCCATTTTCCATTTCCCATCGAGTTTTAACCGTTCGGCCAAACAAACGTGAAACGAGCGCACGAACGAACGAACGAACGAACGAACAAATAAAGAATACAATTTGAATGAAATATGAATGCGAGCGAAAATTATATTATGGAAAATATCTCGGAAAGTGCAAGGCAAAAGGAAATCTTCCGCTCTGTTTGGCTGCTGCGTTGATCTCGGCACGGCACAGAACAAAAAAAAAGTCCGCCGTTCGACTACGGCGAGCGCACTGAATCCGTATCTGAATGTGATATATATATATATATATATATACACCCAGGCAGTGTGTGTGTGTGTGTGTGTGTGTCTATCTGCCAGTATTCTCGCTCTTTCTCTTTCTCTCTCTCTCTCTCTCTGCCGCTATCTTTAGCTCTTCTGTGAGTGCAAAACGCACAAAGAGCGCGTTTGTCGATCGTTAAATATGCATAATGTGTAGAGTTATGGGCAAAGTATTATGTGCTCTTTACATTAATCTGTTATTATATGCACGCCTATGCGAGTATATAGAAATTGAACTGAGCAAAGCATTCAAAAATCAATATCTTACATTACTCGATCGGACAGACAGGAGAGCGAAAGAGCGAGCGAGAGTCAGAGAGAGAGACAGGGAGAGAGAGAGAGGAAGATAGAGAAAGTATACACTTTCATCTAGTTTTTAAGGTCGTTCAGCTTCGTGTTTAGTTCAACATGCGATTTTTAATATTATAACATTCCTTTATTATATTTTATATATATCATAATAAATCTAATAAATTCTTTTGGCTATTTGGACGACTTATACGATACTTCCACACATACACAAATATATATATACAAATCTTTTGTAATCTTTCCCTTCTTTTTTTTGCCCTATTCCCCTAATAAAACAATTTGTGTTAAGGAACTTTAAATATTTTGTAAATTTATTAAGCACACACAAAAGAAACTTTACAAAAGTTTTAACAACCAAAATTAAGATAAAGTATCTACAGTATAGTAAAGGAACATATATTTTTCACATGAACACAATTTATATAACTAAGTATTAATATATAAGCGTCTGTAATTCATACAAAAACTTATCCAAATTCTTTTAACAAGTAGAGCATTTGAGAGTCGCATATAGTTGAAAGAAAGGCATTGTTGCTTTTATAGGCACGCGCCCTCGCATTTCTCTAAATATTTCATTGTGTATTTTTAAATTTTCAACAAGATAACGCGAGAGAAAATGCTCTGAGAGAGTGCGAAAAACACGGCGAGAGACAGAGAGAAACGGAATAAAAATAAAACAAATAAATTGAAAAACAAAAAAGAATAACGAAAAAAACAACAACAAACAAACGCCCTTTGCACAACAAATTTAAGAGCAGCTGTGTGTTTAGGATTAAGGGGAAAGCTCCGCCTACAGTCCGTTGACGAAGAGACTGTGTAATATGATGCCCTTCATGCTCTCGTAGCGCTGGCCACCCGCTGCCAGGTCGCTGCTATATAGCTCAAGGTTGTGGATCAGCTGGAGTATGTCCCGGTCCAGTTCGTCGAACAGCAGCTCACACTTGGCCGCGTCGCTGTAGATGTGAAACTGCTCGAAATGCTCCTCGATGTCGGCGAACCACTCGGCCGGCTGGGAGCGATTGAAGGCGGGCGGATGATTTATGGCCCTGCCAGCCTCCAGATCCTCCTCCCTGATTCGCACACAGCCCTGATGGCCCAAACGATTGCCCATGCCGCCGCACTACGAAGCCCAGTTCTACGAAATCCAATTTGTGCAAGCGCAGCTCCAACGAGCAACTGGCCACAGAATTCGAGTTGCAAGCTGATTGATGGCTGCTGCCGTTATCGATATCTTTTCGTGTATCGATAAGTCGGCATGCAAAGTAATCTATCGGAATGGCAACGAGTAAGCGCTGTGAGCTTTGTTATTATTTGCCTGGTTCCGGAACTTCAATTTATTGCGCACTGCGAACCGAATCGTTGGCAAATATATTTTTTATTTTCAGATATATGTATGATATATACATATATGTGATATATATACATATATTGTTTACGTACTGAAACGCAAATAAAAAACGGCACAAACAAAAAACCGAGCATCGATAAATACATTGATACAATTTCGATAAATTTTTGTTATCTGCACAGTTCATAATGTAAATCAGATCGAAGCTTAAAACCTTGACACATCTGTCATCGTGATTGTGATTGTGATTGTGCAATAGCTGTCCCGACTTTTCGTGCGCAGCTGCTTGATTCACAAACCCAAATATTGTTAAACTTACCTCTGGCGATTGTTTGTGTGAAACAAGTTAGACGAAAAACCAAAGCTGAGAGAAAAACTGAGTTTCCGGGAACCAATCGGAGTCGAACTGCAAACAGAACGTGCGACTGGCAACCGGCTAACAGGCGGCAATTGCAGAAGCTTGGCATAGTCAACCGTTTGGCTCAGAGACTGATAGACGCTAGTTCTAATTGTTGTTGTTTTTTTTTTGTTTGTTTATTTATTTATTTTTTTGTTTTTTTTTTTTTTTTTTGGCGATCTAAGAAGTGTTTTGTTTTGTTAGTGTTGTTGTTAGTTTGTTGTTTTTTTGTTTTTTTTTTTTTTTTTGTTCAAGTTTATGTTTCCAAACATGGCCGAAAGACGCTTGCGAAAGGAACTGAATGAACTGTATAAGCTGCAGCCGAGCAATTGTTGTGCCTGGCCCGTGACCGGGGATCTGATGCTATGGGAGGCGACCATTTTGGGCGTGAGGGACACGCCCTATTATCTGGGCGTATTCTCGCTGCGGCTGAAGTTCAACAGAAACTATCCGTTTATGGCGCCACGCGTGAACTTCCTGACCAAAATCTATCACTGCAATATCGACTTCGATGGTTACATCTGCTGGGATCTGTTGAGCACCAAGTGGACCGCCCTGATTAATGTGTCCACAATCCTGCATGCTGTCTGCGCCCTGATGCGCGAGCCCAATGCAGATGATCCGTGCGACGAGCTGATGGCCGCACTCTATCGCGACAATCGTCAGGAGTACAACAACAATGCGATTGACTGGACGCTCCGCTATGCCATTGCTCCAAGCGTGACGCTGCCTCCGCTGCAGCTGCAGTGCCAGCCGGTGATGATTGAGGAGCAGGATGATGATGACGAGGACAGGGACGGGGACGGGGACGGAGACGGGGATGGTGATGACGAGCAAGAAGACGATGACAATGACGAGGCAGCGGATGATGAAGACGAAGATAACGATGACGACGAGGAGGAGGAGGAGGAGGAGGAGGATGACGAGGAGGAGGACGAGGAAGTTGATTCAGATGATACAGAGCCAGAGCAAGCTGACGCTGCCGAGTCACAGCTGGAAACAGACGACGGGGAGCTGGAAACTAATGAAATAACAACAAACGCTTAATTATAAAATTCCCATGAATTTATTTATAATATATATAGTTTAAAAACCCAGCTCGCAGAGTGCGTCTTGTATCCTCTCTCTTAAATCCAGTTGAGCAGCACCTGGACTGCAAGGCAACCATGACAATATATCCAGCTCGTTGAACCACAATACGGGCTGCGATGTCGACGGCATTGCCAGAGCATCAAGTGGGGATTAGACTATGTTCTAAAATTAGAAATAAAATAAAATAATAAATATCTATCTATATCAAATAGGCTAACTGACTGACTGATGACGAGCTAACTACCTGAACTTTTCGCTGTAGCACTTTGTGAAATTATATTTCGATGATCCAAACAATTACAGAGTTGAGTCGCTCTTTCCGGCAAATCCACCTTTTGGGGTGGAAAATGGGGGACTATGCCTGTTTATTTTCGTTAGATTAATTTCCAAATTGTTTATGAAAAGTGAATATACGTGCCTGAAGTAATACATACATAACTTAGTAACTAGATCTATATTTATATTATATTTTATGATTGAAATAACATAATAATATGCTTTATATAAATACATGTATAAGTAATATATGCTACTATAAACCTATAATTCTTCATAATTTATTCAAATGCGATACAGATCGCTGTGCAACTGAGAAAAGCCTCTTATGATATGACAGCTCGTATTCCTATAAAAGACTCTCTGAATCCTGAGGCCCATATTTTTCTTTCTTACCTTGTGTTTCAAGCATTTTAGGTTTCCAGTGCAGAGCATTCTATATTGCGAATTGACCCAACTGATTTATTGACATCATTTCTCGGGCAAACGAATGCGATTTGAATGCCATAAATCTGTACAGGGAGACAATAATGATGAAGAATTCAGCTTTGCACCGGAATGCCGAATATGAAATACTCTCGATCAGCGTATGTTCTAGTATGACAGGCATACATATAGTTCTATATGTCGTTCTTAATATAAGTAGGGAACAGCTTTGATCCTAAATAAATGTTACAAAAATAAAAGCACGAACATGTAAATACGGGAAATAAGACAAAAACATTTTCAAATAGTTCTTTATTTGAGTCTTTGTTAAAAAGAAAAATACTAACATGAGAATTTCCTTTTCACGTTCAGAAACTTGGGCCATATTTGATTTGTTTTTCTCTAAGGAGATGAAAGTTTTATATTTAAAGAATAAAACATTTTCATGTTGCCAGAGAGCAAAGACTTTTAAATCTGCAACATAGTAGATTTAGCCAAAACATAAAAAATAAATAGAATATTTATAAAATTTGTTACCTTTAAAAAGATAGTTCAGTTTCCTATTAAGGTGTTAGCATTTAAAGAGCTCAGCTTATATCGATAGGCATTAGTTTATTTATTTATATTTTTCCCCTTAATGATACAAATTTTAGGCGTTACCCCTTTGATAACCAAATCAGAATACTCTCCGCAAGCGTATAAACATATTGCTGTGCTTATGTATCTTTTATTATAGATATGCATCTCGAAACTTAATCAAGCAAATAATTTTCACGTTTTCCCTTTCGCAGAAAACCCGCTCCCGTCCCTTCACACGCCAAATGTTGAAGGACGACTTGTATTCTTTTTTGTTTTGTTTCCAATTTGCATGCTGGAATCTGGTCAAGTCCTTTGTCAGTTAAAGAGTTTTTGCTTTAGCTCGATTTTCTGTACTCAATCTTAAAGATACATTTGTATCTTTGCCCTTTCACACAGATACACAGTCATACATAACAGATAGTCGCGTGCGTTGTGCTTATAAGTATAAGTTTCTATGTGTGTAAGTGGCCATTGCATGTGGCCATCATTTGGAGCTGGGTTTTCTGCTAACCCCCCGCCCCTCTCCGCCCGGCCTACCACCCCTGGGAACCAAATGGAACCCGGCCAGCTGTTGGCTTCGTGGATTGCATGCAGCTCGGTCTTAGATACGTAAAGCTGTTGTAGCACATTTAACTAATAAATGCACTTGCCACACACATTTGTAGATGATGCACTATTCCCCGTTCGCCCCTTACCCCTGTATTATCTAACCACAAAAGGCATAAGCTTTTGTAGCAATTCATATACTCTTTATGTCCCTGGCAGCTTGAAATATCTGCTTAAATATGGTAGCTCCTTTTTAACAAAGCAGTTGGCTTCACACATTTAGAAGACATAGATCAACTTTGTAGATGCAGGTTTCTTACCCAAAATGCTCTAACATAATTTATTAAAGACTAAAACACAATTTCTTTTAGCAAGAATAATAATAATTTGTGTTAAAAATGAATAATAAGACAACATATTTGTCATAATAGTAATTAATTATATATGTACATGTAAATAGTTCTATACCATTTCTCTCAATTCAAAATTCGTGGCTTATAATTATTGTTAAGCCATATAAACATTTCCATAGTCCATTTATATGAATTCATCCCAACTTAAGCTCTATAGACACCCTATTTTTCTTTTCATGATGTGACATTTTTTTATAAATTGACATCATTTCGTTCGAGCTGCTTTTAAATCTTGCCTATATCTTACTATCCCAACACATGCCCTTATATTATTTAATCTTGAGATCAAGCCGAGTATCTTCAATTGAATACAACACCTACAGGGTATAAAAATGTTGATTTCCATATTTGATTTATAAGGGTTTGGAAGAGCTGCTAGTTCTTCTCGTGCAAATCGTGAACTAGTTCTTTAAGCCACTAATTCAGTTATTATCTTAAGAACACAACAAATATTTGGAGCACTTAGGAGTCCAAAGATTAAGAAGAATGTAGAGGATATAACTTGTTGTTAATAATAAAATATTACTTGAATTGTATACCTAAAGCTATCTTATTTTCTTGTACGCAAATACTTTTATGCTATATTCTTCGATATATGAAATGACTTAATTGATAGCTATATATTATGTCTTTTATATATTTTTTAACTTTAGGATCGTTGATATTTCCTTAGCACATGAAAGTCGCGGTAATCTGTATCTAATTGTTGTATGTAGTATACATATATGTATGTACAGATCGGAGAGTGTGTTTATTTAGCTTGAAAACGAACGCAATAAAAATAATGTAAATACGTATGTAAATAGAAGAGGAGCATTGCACGAGCAAGAGAAAGCGAGTATTATAATACTGCTGGCACTGTCTGATACAATATATACCCATTATCGGGTGTCAGTTTCGATGTTTACCAAGACATCGACAAATTCCATTTGCCAGTGTGTTCATATATGGCAGCAATCGCTGGGCTTATAATATTGAGGGTCAAGAACGCGCTACACACACACACGCGCACACTGGACCTGGACGGAAGGAAACGGAATGAAATGGATGGGAGCGCAGGAGAGGGGAGTGGAGTGGGACTGTAGCAGCGGAGAGGCCAAGAGAGGGCAAGACACCAACTGAAAGGGCTATTCACGTCGTACAATCAATTGCTATTAGTTTTCATTACAGTCAAATTACCATAAAATCACATAGACCGTTAGTTGAGTTCGTGCCTTACGGGCTGTTCGCGTTGCCATTTGTCGCTGCCCTCTGCTGACTGCTGGGGTTGCCACCTGACCGCAAGACAGCACACTTTTTCGATATTCATAGAATAATTACACTTTATCAAGGCAGCGCAGTTCATGAATTAACACGCACCTGGAAAGGGGCCAGGCTCGAATCGAGTGGCCGCACTGCCGTTTCCTGTTTCCTGCTTCGATAGTTTCCTTTCGGCTGCTGCTGTCCCTGCTGTGGCTTGGAAATTAGTCAAGTTTGTTACGTTTATGTGAGAGAATTACCGTAATTAGAATATATTGAGCAATAAAAGTGATTTTTATTATTGGAACGCACAACGTGAGCTCGGACCGAGCATCGATGCGGATGATGACGGTGGTGACACAAAGGCCACAGGACTCTCCGGGGTGCCGGACACAGCACACACACAGCACACACACACACACACACTCAGCACACACACACATGCACACAGGTATGGCAATTGGAATAACTGTAATGGGGTCAGGACATTGCCGACATTCTGGCCTTTTGTGCCTTTGTAAGCTCATTTTATGCGGCTTCTTTTAGCCAGTTGCCATCAAATGGCTGCAGCGTTCACTTTTCTTATTGTTGCAGCCAAAAAGGCATTCAGAGCGAGTTAGCCAGCTGTTTAGGAACTTGAAGGACTGCCCATAGTAAGGCGACCCCTCACCCTTTCCCTTGTTCAGCTGCTTTAAATGAAAATATTGCAACAGCTTTTCTATGGATTATGATAAAGTTGATTAGTTGCCAGTTAAAAGGCTGGTCAATAGGGAGGGGAAGTCAATAGTTCAATGTAAGAACAAGAGAAAAGGATTAAATGGCAATTTTATCAAGACATTGAATACTTTTTCAATCACCAGCTCGAGTAAATCTTTGTGGTTTTTCAATTCACTATCATTGCCATTTTCTTTGTGAATAATATCAAACAATATACAAAATTGACAATTGCTCGCCTGTCAGTCCGACGCTCTTGATGTAATCTTTAATAGAAACTTTGTCCACATTTTTCCCCACAGGCGGATCAAACTTTCCATCTTGTGTTCACTTTCGAGTGAGAAAATCATGTTAGGGATGTCCGGAAGTTGATTTTTGTGCAATGCTCTTCGAAGTCTTATATCTGATATCTGAAGCGGCAATCAGCCCAAGCGAGTGGGTCGCCCAGATAGTTCGTCTGCCGAGGACCGCATGCAATTCAAATTAAAAATCAATTTGGTAACAGGTACTTGGCTAATGCAGTCTTTCATTTCAGCTGCGTTTCGCAATTACTGGGCCAACTGAGATGACAGTTAATGTTGTCGCTGTGTGGCAACATTGTCAGTGCCCCAAGAGGCACTCAACAGCTGCCTATACGCAAAATGTGTGGCACTTCATAAAGACTCTGCCGAAAATTAACTTTGACACACACTCCAACAGCCAACTGCTACATCTCTGTGTGTGCGTGTGTGTATGTGTGTGTGTCTGTGTGGGTGCCATAAAAACGCAGCTCATTGGCTCCTAAACATGCCGTTTATGAGCACACACTGGCAGTCAGAGATAGAAGGATAGAGAAGATGGTCTGTAGTAAAAGCAACATGGACTAAGTACTGCTCCATAGCTGTCATAGGGCTGACCATAACGTTGCAATGTATGTGTGTGTGTGTGTGTGTGTGCATGTGTGAGCGTGTGTGAGCGTGTGTTGGCTGCCAAGAAGCGAATGTCAATAGCCAACAGCAGCTGTCAAAACACAGACGCCCTATGTGCCCGCGCTGTTAATGTAATTTGACAATGAATCGTTGCGTCCAAAGTCCAACTGTACCAGTCGACTGTGAACCGACCGCACAGTGCTTCGAGCACATGGTGGCATTTGACGAAAATCTATCACCAATCAATCTTAAAGAAAGTCTTGCAAATATCTTTTAATCATTCTTTATATATGGTTACTGAAACTTTAATAGCAATAAAAAAAGCAATAAAACCTTTTCAAAACTCCGGTCAGAGTTTTGCAATCTTTTTTAACCAATAAGATAATAAAATAACCTTTAATATAGTTAGTCCATTTTATTATTATATATATTACATATTTTTAAATGCCTAATGATATATATTTTTAGGCATATTTTCAAACTTTTAATGGGCTTAGAAATACAAGAAATCAAACTTAAAATCTGAAGAATATTTGAAGTCAAATATATCGATAACAGCACACAATATCAACGATAGGAACTCTTGTCAAAGTTTTGCACAGTTTTGAAATTTTTAGCGCGTTTAGTGATGCAAGAAATCGAACTTTTTAATCGGAAGAATATTTGAACTCAAATATATCCATAACAGCAATCGTTATCAACGATCTGAACTCTGTTTGTGGTCCCCTACTTATTTCGTCCCAGTTTAATTTAACTAATTTTTTCTTAAGTCCTCTTGCACTAGACGAAGCACTGTGCACCTATTCGACGGCCAAGCAGCTTGTTCTGAGTTCAGAGTTCTCGACTCGTGGGTGGCCCTATGCAACTTAATCGATTGGCATTTTGGCGTTTTGGGCATTTTCTAGGTAATCGACTTTGATGGCCAGCAGAGACAGTACATGGAACTTAATGAGTTGCCGCACATCCTGCCCCTGCTGCCGCTACGCCTTGGGGAATGCACATAAATCGCCGATGGTCGTTTATGAAAACATTCGCCGGGGCCGTTAAGTTCGAATATGCGTTAAACTTGGCACTTTCGGTAGCCATTTTGTTTTATTTTCACTGTTCCCGCCGCCATGCAAAAAGCTTATAAAATGCGCATTGCGAAAACAAAAAGTATTTTAATAGAGCCGCGCTTTCATAATGCTGTCCTAACGTCCTTAATGTGTGTGCACTTAAATCTATAATATAAGAATGCATAAAATATTGCATAGTATAAATTATAATATGGTTTGGGAGGGTGGTCGGCGCTTTAAGGCTGGACCTGTTTTGCAAGGGACGCGCCTACTCGTGCACTTGGAGCTTTAAAATACATGCTGAGCTTGAGCTTGCAATAGAATATACATGAAGAAAAGCTTTAACTGTATTTGTGATCAATAAGTAGGCCGTAAAGCTTTTAAGCTAGACTAACTCACAAAGGTTGGATTACATATGTAGATCAAAGCTTGCGCAAACTTGGGCACCAATGGCAGCTTTTGGCTTTTGCGCAAGGATCAACAATGGCCCGCAGGCTTAAGTTTGTTAAGGCTTTGAGCTTTCACACTTACATGTGCAAGGTTTACTTATACTTATGTGCCTAGTAAGCGTTAAGTAATGTGCGCAACTGGATACATTATTGTTACTTAAGCTTTTGAGCTTTTGATGTTAAGTAGGACATGAGTATAAAATTTAATGCATACGTTTGATCTGGAAAAAGCTCTAGCTTGCTGTTAGCTAATAGTTGGTATTTAGCATAAGTTTGCATTTGAGCTATAAATCTGCATGCTCTGGCAAAAGCTCCTTATTCGGCGTAAGCTTGCAGGTGGAGCTTTTACACTCGCTGCCTGAATGCACCAGATAGATCTTTCGAGCTTTTGCACTTGCATATTTTTTAAAAAGCTCTCAGAATCAAATGCAATGCTTTCAGTTCAACCAGCGACCAAGGTCCAGCCCAATAGCAGCATAGGAATATTGCATTAAATTAATGCCATGTTAACGCAAAATTGCGTTTACAAATCCAATCTGCCGTTGCCGGCACCGATAAATGAAGTGCACGAATGGGCGTTTATGGCCACATGACCACATAAAATTACAAGCTTCACGGCTAGCTTTGCTACTGGAGTGCGTCGTGTGTGGCACAGGACTTGGACACTGTGTAATCGGAGCAACTGGCCATTTGGGCAGCATCTTTGGATGACCGACTAGAGCACCTGTGACGGCAGCTGGACTGTGTCTCCAGTAGCTGTTGCAGCTGCTGAAGGTATTCATTTGGGCAGTCCGGTTTCGATTTGTGGTCGGACAGCTCTTAAACTCCAAGAGGGGGCTGGGGGCTGGGGCTGTGAGCGCAGGGCGGACTGTCCAACAAAAACTTAACAAGCTGGTCAGGCGGCCAAATAGATAAACTGGCGCCACATGCTCCGCAATTTGACTCCATTGCACATCAGCTTAGGTGGCAAGGTGTTGGCCGAGGCACACACAGCTGCTGCACACACACAGCGCACAGCATGTGCATGCCACAGACAAGCGTTTCAGATTTACAAAACATTTTATACATTGAGGGCGAGGGTTCAAGTCACAGCTCAGATTCGGCAAGGGTTCGGGCGTTTGCGGGCGGTGGGCCATTTGTGGGCCATGCAACGTCTATGTTTGCGGTGGCCAGGGACGAATGTTGATGCCATTTCTACTGCTGCTGCTGTTGCTGCTGCTGTTGCAGCACGTCCATCAGTGGCCCATTGTCTGTGTCGCGCATACATAATGAAGTGAACCAGAACTGTAGCTAGCTACCCGCTGCCTCCACGCCTGTTGCATTTACCTGTACCAGTTCCTGTTCCGCCTCACCTGCCTAATGACGATGACGATGCGATGATGATGATGATGATGAGCATGACGATGATGATGATGAGGTTGTTGATGATGTTGATAATGAAGCTACTGTTGCTGCCATTTTGGGGTTGGTGGCGATTGGCTGACTGTTTGTTAGCGCGCATTGTGGTGGGTCCAGGTTCAGAGTACGGCAAGAGCGGGTTGTGCGGGTGGCATGGGGTGCGGGGTGCGGGTGCGGGTGTGGGATAGTACTCGCTCTGTGCATTGATAGAAGCGCAATTAGCACTTCGATTGTGTTCGGGTTGACGCGATTTGCATCAAATTAATGTCTTCATCAACGGGCAAACAGAGCGACAATTTGGATAAACGAACGAACGAACGAACGAATCATTTTTGACAAAGCTCAAAAACAATTCGCACGTCAAGTGGGGGGGTCGCTTTTGTTACATTTGACTGCCAGTTCCGAGAGTTGACAAATGAAGTCCTGTTTTATAATTGTACATCATATTTTCCAGCGAGATTAATTTATGAAGTGCTTTCTTGATGATTCGGGCCTGGAGTCGATTCATTCAGGGACCGGTTCAATAAATTATTCAAGTGTCAAGTGTGTGTCCTTTGCAAGGACATTCATATGAGCATCTATAGATTTATAGAGTATTATGAATGTGGGAAATAGAAAACTGTTTATCAAAGTGGGCCTCGACTATTCGAATGAGGTCTAACTTTTCCATAACTACAATAGCTCAGTACTCTAAGGAAACTCAGGACAATCAGTACAACTTTCCCAGTACACTCGAAAATCGTGGGATATTTTGTTTTTTGGTAAATATTATATATATATGTATATATATATTTTGTTCCATATTATGACTGAGTCGGCCTTTCGAGATGAGTGTAAATCGTTATAACTTCTCGCTGACCACATTCAATCCGGCTGGCGAGCTGAAGCAGGTGGAGTATGCCAATAATTGTGGATCGAAGGGTGCGCCAACTGTGGGGATCATAACGAAGAACGGACTCGTTTTGGCCACAGAGAAGAGGATCGACTCGAAACTTACGATCGGACGCACCGTCAAGAAGCTGGAGAAGATTGGCTCACATATGGCGATGGCCTATTCCGGCATGGCTCCAGATTTTCGCATCCTGTCAAAGATGGCGCAAAAGACGTGCGCCGCATACAGCCTGGTCCACTCGGGCATTGTGCCCGTCGACGGCATGGCGATGGCCGTCTCCAACACCATGCAGGAATTCACCCAATCCTGTGGGGTCCGTCCATTCGGGCTATCGGTCCTGCTTGGCGGTTGGGAGAGGGGGCATGCACGTCTCTATCGCTTGGATGCCGCCGGTTCGCTTCTGCCCTTTAGAGCCTGTGCCGTCGGCAAAGATGCAGAGCAACGCATGGAAATTCTGGAACGCCACTATAATCCGAAACTAACTATGGAATTCGCCATATATCTGGCCATTCAGACGATCAGAATGGGCGACGAGCAGTCGATGCCGGCCCAGCACTTCGAAATTGGCATAATCGATAAGACTGGCTTCAGGCGCCTGGACATCGCGACAATCGAGGCCTATTTAACGAAAATGAACTAAATTGCAGCAACACGACTGAAATCGAACGCAGCTCTTTTGGTGTGCAAGTTTATAATGTGATACGCTGGAATGAAACACATTTTCTTTTATCCCGTTTTCGGTTCTTACAAAACCTTTTCAATTCATGCAGTGACCATTAATCGTGGCTGAATAGACTTTTAGTTTTAACACTATTGGTAAGTGAAAGTTTAAAATTGATTAAGCTGTAGAAAGATTCAAGTCGACAAATGGTAAACGGATGGAACGATGGAATTTATGTACATAGACACAAATTTATTTCGGGCAAAACGAGGCGTGTAGCGATCAGTCTCGGGTTCTTTTGCCATGGCACGTTGGAATGAAACGTGTTTTATTTTCATTTTACATTTAAGAAATTGTTTGTTAGAGCTCTCCTGGGAGCCTTTAGTGCTCGCAAGCATTAAAAAAGATAAAACAATAAGTCTGAAGCATTCTTTCAAGCAAAAGCCGCATAATCCAAGCATCAATCAATCAATCGTTAATTCACAAGCTTCAGCTATAGTACAATTGTATGATATATAATTACTTTTACCTTGTTTTAAAAGCATTTGGATAATTTAAGCATTTTTTCAAGCAAACGCCAGAAACTTATTATCAATCGATCAATCAAACTCGCACGTCAACTTTAATAAATCAATTGATTATCAATCAATCGAATGCAAAACCTTTAATATGGTATGATGTAATGAACATATATTTATCTTGGCGAGAGTTTTGATAGCTCAAGCATTCATTCAAGCAAACAATTCAATCATCAATCGATCATCAATCAATCTGATAAACCATCTTCTATATGGTATATAGTTAAAAATATTTATATATATATTTCGTTAATTCAAGCATTCATGCAAGCAAAAAAACTAATTGTCAATCGATCAATCAATCTACATACAAAATGGAATGAAACATATTTTATTTGGTAAGCACTAAGAAACGGTGCGAATTCGAAACGCGATAAGCGACAAGGCTAGCAGAGTGTGAGAGATTTGTAGTCGCTTTTCTCGCTGAGCTTCTCCCGCTTCCGGTGATAAGCAACAATAAATTATCGCTACTCGCTTCGGTTAGCCGAGCTAAGCTAAGCTCTCTCGCTTCCAGTGCAACCCATAACTATAAGGGCGTGTTCTTATCTTTCACAGTGATCTGTTGCATCCGATTTGATGCATTGTTTTGGATTACACTTAAGAGTTGCCAGCAGCACGGCCAGAAACTAGCCAAGCGGAAGCTCCACAATGCAGCGCCATAACCAGAACCAACGAGGATGCCAGGCTGGCGATGTTTACAACGATGGGGGAAGACGACGATGATAATACTCTTACTCTGTGCCTTTCCGTTTGCCGATGTGTCAAGTGGCACTTGCGGGGCTGCTTGACCGGAGACCCGGCTTACTGGATGCCGGGGCTAGGCGTTGGCGTTGGCGTTGGCATTTACCTGGCGACCAGAGTTGTCGTGTTTTTGTCTCCCGGCATCCTTTATTTATATATTTTCTTGCCTGGGTTTTGGTTCCCCATTCTATTTTTTTTTTTATACTTTTATTTCATTTGCCTTCAATGCAATTATACTGGATAAATATCTTCTTCCGTTTTAGCTGTAATTACAAAAGTTTAATTGAGTTTTCTCGGCTCGTTGTGTTCGTTTCTTTTTCCTACTTCATTTTTTTTTATCCACCCCCCCCCCCCCCCCCGCGACCGTATGCTTCTTCTCTTTTTGTTTTGCACTTGTTTTTGTCCTGCTGCCGCCGCTGCTTTGTTGCTGTCGTCCTGTTCGGCGCTCGTCGACATCTCTGGCGCTGGCTGTCGTTGCGGCTGGCTAGAAGTTTATCCAGCATTCTCTCTGCTAAGTCGTCCTGGCGCGCTGGAGCTGGCGCTGAAGCTGGCGCTGAAGCTGGAGCTGGAGCTGGAGCTGGAGCTGTCGTCGTTGTCGCCGTGGCTGCCGTTGACGCTTTTTCCATCTGGATCTGTGGCCGCCTGTCTTCATCTCCAGCCTTACTCTTTTTCTCTTTTCCTTTTTTTTATTGTTGATGTTGCGAAAAAGAGTTGTTTTCAGCCTGCCAGGCCTGTCTATCTAGCGCCACGTGATTGTTTTTTGCCACAACAACAACAACAGCAGCAGAGTGACATTGAGAGGGGGAGAGAGCGACAGGGGGGAGGTTGGGGGGAATGGTCTGGCAGACAGTGGCAATGGCGGCGCGCCTGAGGCTGAGTGATTTCTTCTACTTTGGGACGTCCCAAGGACAGGCATAATAAAAAGTGATTAAAACAGAGCGCAATTGTATTTCAACTTGACTTTAAGGCGCTTGCCCTAACCTCACTTGCAGCAGTGCTGCCAATTTATTTTAAATAAATAGCGAAAGTGTTGAGTAACGGCGCAAAGCAAACGCCTCACGCACACACGCACACGCACAGACAGCAAGCATGACAGTTGCCGGCTGAAACATACGGATGAGCGGTACAGATTCTGGTTAATTTATTCATTGCAAATTTACATGCTCATGTTTGCAAATTTAAAAACTGCACACACACTCACATTTACACACTCGCATATTCACAGCAAAAGAGACGGCAAATGCATAGTTAGAAAGTGTGCGAATGGGAGGCAGCTAGAGAGTGAGAGTGCAGGGTGCAGGGTGCAGGGTGCAGGGGCCGTGCAAGCGAGTTTATTCAAAGCAGACTCTCCTAGTAATATGTAAATCGCATTGCCAGTGCCAAAGTGGAATTTGCTCAGAGTCAGCAGGCTTCCCAGTTGCAACTGCAACCGCAGGCCCTCAGCCCCACCCTAGCCCCATCTAGATTCGCATTCGCATCAGCGCCTCTGTATGGCGCAGCGTTCAGTTATTTTCCTATGGGAAAAATCCACTTGGCGCTACCCCAATATTTACATATCATAGTTGGCTCCACAAATGAGTTGGCGGGAGAGCGAAAGAGAGAGAGAGAGAGGGAGGGAGGGAGCCAGTGTTGTATATGAGTGAGGGCGGAGTGTTGAGTACGGCGGTAAAAGTACGTGCCAAGTGACTGCGACGTGTTGAGTTAAACAGTCAAGCCTATTGCTTGTACGAATGTGTTTCTAGGAGCAAGTCCAGGTTAAAAATGTGAATAAATGTACATAACCAACGTGACGTAGAGAACAAAGCACAACGCATCAGATTCGAATCAAAATAAGATACATTTTTGACAGTTAAAAGACTGGCAAGAGCCTAGCTCAACGATTGTATTGTATCTAATTTAAATGTTTATAAACTCAAAAACTGACTCAAAATCGAATTCTATATCTATCGATATACAAAGCAATCAATGTATCGATATGAGCAAATGACATTTTCTACAGGGCTGCAACATTGCCGTTGGTCTTAGGGCTGCGGAATTTAAATCAATTTCGATCGACAGCTGAGCTTAAAGCTTCAGCAATTGCAATTTGGTCTTCTATTGAGCACCAGGTCTTTGTGTATAATTTCTATATTAAGCAAAAGATTTAACGTAACAAGTCCGAGCTTGACAAGCTCGTTTCAGTATGTTCATAACTCGCATCGACCCTCTTCAATCTTACGTATTGCATAGGTTTAATAAAATGATAAAAAAAGCAGTTATATAAAAATATAATATAACAAATTAGATACGCTTGAGTAATCGAATATTTATGATGAAACATGAGCGGCAACCAAATAATATGTGTACATATACATATGTATACCTAAGCAACCCCATAAACCATAACTGCGCGCAATTCTGAAACAAAAAAACCTCTCGTTTGGGAGGAACAGGAGCACATCACACACTCGCACACACACACTCGCAGACACACACTCGCACACACAGTAGTAGAGGCAAGAGAATGGTGCTTGTCAAAACAAATCCGTAAGAGATTACATTAAAAGGCGCATTTGGACAGCTCAATCGCAAAATAGAATACACCTATTCGAACATACTTACATACTCGAATAACCGGGGATATAACATATGTATATGGAATGCACGCTGTGCATGCGGAAATATCCCCAATGGATTTACCAGACGCCAGTGTGCACCCAACTCAAACCTGGCCCTTAAGTCCCTGTATCCTTGTTTCTTTAGCAACGGTTGCGGCATCGCGGGTTTTCTCTCTTTTTTTTTTATGTGCATGTGTGCCTGCGTGTTTGTGTGTTTGTGTGCTGGCAATGATGGAAAGTTCTGTAATACGAACTGACAGTAGTTTTCATTACGAATTCATGCAATTTTTTACTTTTTTCCTTTCGATTTTCGAACAGACTGCAGCATGATCCACCATAAACAACAGCCGCACAACGTTTACCCAATTCCTAAATGAGTGTTGAGGCAATTGAAGTTGCTCGGTTAAGACCTTTTGAATAGAGTCCGTCAGCTTTGAGTCGCATTATGATAATGCGTAAATGTTTTTTGAGCTTGCTGAAAGTTGGCAATCACTTTAATACCATTTAAAAATTAATCCATCAACACGTACTCAACGATAGTTCAAAAGGAGCTCTACAGGTGGCAACGCTTTAATTTAACTTATCTGTTAATTTGTGCCTTACCAACACTGTGCGCTGTTAAAAGTCAAGGTGGCAACACTGCAAGTTAATTAACTGCCTGGCAAATTCGAACAGACACATCAACCAAGCTGTAACTATATATTGAAGTTGCTTCAGGTATAATATTATGAATTAGCATAGCTGCATATTCTATGCATGTTTATTTATTTGATTGCACACCAAACTCGAGAATACGTCGGTTATCGCTGCATAGATAAGTTCACCTTTGAGTAAATTTTGTCTGTGATTTGTTTGTGGCTGTGGAAATGTAAGCAAATGTTTGTAAGACGACAAAGCTGCTTACTAGATTTACGTTGCTCTTCTTCTTCTTGTTGTTGCGGATGGAGCATCTTGAGCAGACATTTCAAATGGCAATTTGGTGGCCGAAGGGTGCGGTAGGGGTAGGGGGGGGGGTGGACTGTGGCCTTTGTTATGCAAAGTGCAAGTGCTCTCTTCCTCCGTCTCTAACTCTCTCTCCCACTCAGTATTTCTCTGTTGAATCTGAATCTGATTCTGACCTTTGTCCATGACCACAGTGGCCACTCTATAAATTGTACAACTATTTTCAATAAAAGCACACAATAACCA